GTCGCAGCAAATACCGTTTATCATCATGGGGTGCTGCTTGTGCTTCGAAGTTTTCATTGAATCTGAAATCAAAAAATAACATAATGCAAATTTTAATATTTTAAAGAACTAGAAATGTGAATACAAAAGATAGTGATTCTAATACAAACCGAAATCTCTCTGGTCCTATATGAGTTGTGGTTCTGATGTAGCTTTCATGGCATGTATTTGTTATGTCTTTGCCTATCTGCATAAATCTTTCTGAGTTTTCGTTTGTCTGAGTGGCCGCCGACAATGCAAAAAGACCACCTTGAAACCACAAATATTGAACACACACATATAAGACAAAAATGTTCACATTGAAATGTTGTGATCAATCTTACCGGAGAAACATGCCAAATGATCCATTGTGTCTTCGGCTTGTCCGTATTTCATATCGGATACGTATACTAATCCATTGCTTGTCGTATGAATGAGATTATTAGCAACAGCATCCATTGCATCATCATACATTCTCCGAGCATCCGTGTCAGTGTTATTCGATTGAATCAAAGCTTTCAGCAAATATTCGTAAAAACTGTCTCCAAAAGCGCCTAATCCGATGTGCTCTATTATTATTTGTGATAAATTTGTATTACTTCTCTTGAATGCAGAAAATCATTTATCAATTTTGGCACTTACGCTGTCCCCATTTTCCTGAATAGGGATCTATATAATTCGGATAAAGTCCATTCGGTTTTGGAATTTCTCGCAAGAATTCATTGATTTTTAAAACGCGATCACGATATATTGGATCTCCAGTTATGTCACTCAAATAAGCAAATTCGAGATGTAACGTCCCAATTTCAGACAATATACTGCCGCCACTCCATCCATAATTTTTACTTATCTGTTTAAAAACAAAAGATGCCAATGCTTGCGTGAGTAATTAATTCCAGGTTTAACGATATTTCTAATGAAAAGTTAAAAATCACTTACACCTGTTCCAATATCAACTAACGACTTCGGCAAGCCAGTTGCGGTTTCGAATGCTGGAAGCAGTTTATCGGCAACTTCTTTGGCTTTTACTTTGTACATGGGATCTCCAGTGAATGCATACATGGTTATAAGACCACCCACAAACCGTATATTGGTTTCAAATACAGACATTTGTACATGCTGAAAAAAATTAAGTAATTTAAATCTTGATTAACTTGATTAAAAATTTAAATTAAACTGAAAAAATCTATTTTTCTTTACCTTGCCTTGGAGTGTAAAATGTTCCGCAACCCATTTACGAGCTTCTTGATATTGTTGCTTTAAATTCATTATATACAGAGTATCCAAACTGTCAATAATGGTTGCTCCCAATTCACTAGCTCCAAATACTCCATTGTGACCGGATTTTGTTAGTGGGCGCAATTCGTTGTGGCCCCATGCAAATTTTTTGTAGTTGGTCCATGCGTGTAATGTCATCTAATTTGAATCATATACAGACAAAAAGATATACAATGAAAACTAGATGTTATTTCATATAAAATTCGGAACTAGTTGACACTATATTGTGGATTGAAATATGATTGTAATGTCGGTATGCTACCAAAAAATGACTTTACTCAGTTAAGTTTAATTTTCACAAAAAAAAATCACAAGATACCGACATCATTTTTTTGAAACGACATAATTATTAGACCAGAAAAGAAGGACTTTTAAAAAGTTTTCGAAATATGTAGAAACCACCCTCAAAATATCTATCTTAAAAGTGAAAACACTACGAAATCCACATTCGCCACGTCATTTGGAATTTCCATCAGATGAACTGATGATATTGTTGTATTTTTTTTTTCACTGAGACTTTTGTTGTCTCTGCGTATAGCATAAAATATACACGCAAAATAATTTAAAACATTTTCGTTTTTATTCTAAAGCAATTGCTTACTATTCTTTTTCTTTCTTGAATTTGCTTAATTATTCTACTCTAATTCACATAAAAGAAACAATTATTTTAGTTTTATTTAAAAAAAAAAACTCACTTCCCGTATTTTGAGTCGACGTTTTCTGGCAATTGGATCACGATCCTCACCATTTGGAAAATCTTCTATATGATCTTTTGACACTTTGATTGAATGTAAATCTGAGTGCACATGTGATTTTGGTACATCTGGAACGACGTTACCATTATCTACCTCAATTGTATCTATTTGAATTTCATTTGTGTTTTGTACTATATGATGCTGCAGCCGTGGCGAAATTTTGATTTGTTTATCGTGAGATATCATTGAATCAAGCATCAGCCAGCAAATCGTCAACATTACAATTAAGACAAACATTAACACTGTTCCATGTTTACGAAGCGCACGTCTCATTGATATTCTCAACACATTTTGTAAAAGCATTTTTCTACACTATTTTTCAATTTTACAAATAGGAAACTATTTACAATTTTACAACCATAAAAATAAATAAATGAAAATCACAACAAGACACAACCGAAGTGAGCCACCGACTGCAATAGTCTTATATGATATTTTGCCATGTTTCAGGCTCTTATCATTTTTGTTTTTATTCTAAAATGATTAAAATTCTCTCACACGTTATGCTCAAGATGTCAAAATTACTGCTAATTATCAAAATATACAAATGATTCATTTTCTGAATGACATTGAAATGACACAACATATTCTGAGATTCTCATGCCCGTATCAGTATTCTCTCCAGCAACTGTGTCAATATTGTGTATACAGGGTGATTCATATAAGTGGGCCACAATTTTGTTTTTGGTGGGAAGGGTAACTTGAGCAGATTTTTGAATTTGGTTTTTGGTGGTTTTTCCTTGGAAATCGGATTTTTTTTAAGTCTTTGAGAATAAACAAAAAATTAAGTTCAAATACAGAACATCAATTTTTCTTTTACTTTTTACATTTCGAGATTGAAACCGAATTGGACCAAACTTTTTTCAAAATTGCGAAACGAACAGCAATATTTTTACCGCTTTGTATTCCTCGAGTCTATCTGTATAAGATAGGATAGTTTTCGAGCCATCGAGGTGCTAAATCGATTTTTTTTTACCTTTTATACGATATTTCCTCCTCTCCCAAAAACGAAATTCTAAAAATCTGCTCTGATATAAAATCTTAGTTTGCCTTAGTTTTAAAAAAATTGAAATTCACACTCCCTGGTTAGTGGCCTACTTACATGAAACACCCTGTATATTATTTTTACACCATATGCTTACGTTAAGTACTATCACAATTAATACGCAAACGCGAGCGGCAAACACACACGTACTGAATGATTAGTATAAATATAAATTCTAACGGAAGCTGTTATCACTGGAACAATATAATTGGCCACACGTAGTACAAAGTACGTTAGAAAATAAATGGAAACTGCGTTTATTTTTTTTAACCAGTAATAATCAGTTTTTAATCATTTTTATATACATAAAGCAAATCGATTTACACTTAAATCTATATCATTTTTATTCATATTTTTAATAACAGGTATTTTCTAAGTTGAGATTGAAATTCGTTGTTATTCAAAAAAAAAAAGTAAATTATACATTTTCTTTAATTGTTGCCAGATATCGCCTGTCTATACATTGGATTGCCTTTTATTGGAAGGGGAT